TCCTAGATCAAGGCTAACACAATGACACACCCACAGAGCAACCAAACCCTATCACACACAATTAAGGGTCCAAGAACACAAACCTCACAAAACCGAATTGCCTAGGCACTAAAATGCCACAGCCTAGGAAGCATGGATACTCCTTGAAGGGTCGACATGGCGGTGTCGAACACGTGTTCGACACTTCCATAAGTGTCCTAAATAGTGAAGAAGCATTTGTTTTGGATGGATACGACTAGGATAGTGGGGTGATACGGTGGGATACTACCCACAACCATGGATTTATGTTGAAACCAGAAAAAGGGGGGGGGGGTGGAAGAAGACGATACCTAATCAGCCATTGCGACTGCCACAACCAAATATCACGTCCTCTTCGAGTAGGTATGTCGTCTTCAGATCTCCTCTTCGACCACTCTCTCTTTCTCTCTCTGGGCGGTTTCTATTGCTTCTCTGTGATAGAACCTGCGGCGTGCCCTAGTCGCTGAAAAGCAACAGTCACGTTACTTTCTTCTTTTTTTTTTTTCTTTTCAGCAAGGGTTTTCCATCATTACGTTTCAGCCCCAGTTATTTTCTTGTCCTTTTTTCTTTGTCCTAATTGCTAAATTACACTTTACAAGTTACCCTTAAACTTCTTATATTTTATGTTAAATTACAATCATACTTTATTAGTTGTCACCCACTATCCAATTTGGTTGGACCCACTGCCCATAATATATTAGTTCACTAATCAAATTTAATATTAGTTTATTTTCTCCAATTATAAAATATTAATTAATTACTCAATTTTATTATTAATATTATTATATATATATAAATATATCATATTATTTTAATTAGCCGTAGTGTTATGAAAAGATTGCCTAGGCAAGAAGTAAAGCGAGGCGAGGTTGTCTCGCCTTGAACAACTAAGACGAAGCGATAAAAAAACGAGTACCTCTCGCTTCAATGAAAGGCGAGAAAGCGAGCGCCTTAGTTAAGCGAGGCGAGATTGTCTTGGATTGTTTTATTTTTATTATAGACCGTTGGATTGGGGCAATTAGAAAAAAAATTATGAGATGCCCATACACCCAATTGTCCCCTTATCCCAATATATACAACACTCAAATCCTAATTTTGCTCAAAGGGTCAGACGACGACTTCTGCTGCTGCTACTCATTCCTTGTTGGTCGACGACTGCTACTGTTGCTCCTCCTTCCTCGCTGGTCCACACACAGGTTTGTCTCCTTTTTTTCTTTTCTCTTTTGTTTCTCTTCTTCTTTATTTCTCCTTTTTTTTCTTTTAATTTTTTTTCTTTTTCTAGGTCCACAGCTTTGCATCTGCTGCTGTCTTCTTTGACAGAAAAAAACTACACACAGGTACTGTTTCTACTGCTGTTTCTCCTACTTCTACTTCGACAATAGAGGTACGTTTTCTTCTCTCCACTCTTCTCTTCTTCTGTTGGTTCTGGTTCTTCTTCTTTGCTTCTTCTTCTTCTCTTTTTCTGCTTCTAGTTTTGTTTCTCTGTTTCTGTTTCTCTTTTTCTCTTTTTCTGCTTCTGATTCTGCTTTTTTTCTTTTTCTGATTCTGATTCTGCTTTTGTTTCTCTCAATTTGATGCTGAGATTTTCTATAAACGCTTATTTTGCTATTTTTTTTGTATTTTCTACTTCTGTTTTTTTTTTCTGCTCTGCTTCTGCTTTTTTTTTTTCTTCTTTTCTTGATTTTCTAATGTTTATATTTTTTTTCTGCTTTTGTTTCTATTTTTTTTTTTGCTTTTGCTTATGTTATTTTTTTCTGCTTCTGATTTTGTATAGCTGATTTTCTCTGGTTCTGATTTTCTCTGTAAGTAGATTGTTTTGCGTCTCTGCTTCTTTTTCTGTCTCTCTTTCTTCTCCTCTTTTACTTCTGGTTTTGCTTCTCTTCTTCTGCTTCTGGTTTTGCTTCTCTGTTTCTACTTTTGGTTTTTTTATTTGTAATCTTGAATGCTGATTCCCTTTTTTTCTGCTTCTGCTTCTTCTTCTCTGCTTCCTCTTTTGCGGTTGATTCTGATTTTCTGTAATTCTGATTTTGCTGATAGAGAAGCATTGAATAAATGTTTAATTGCTTGAATTGTGTGTGTTATATTTTTAAATATTAGGATTTGAGATATTATTAGTGTTTGTTTGAATTTAAATATTTAAGCTATGACTGTTATTAAACTTTGAGATATTATTAGTGTTTGTTTTAATTTAAATGTTTATGGTTTTGTTTGCATTTAAATATATAGTATTTATAAAATTAAAACATAGAAGTTTAGAAGTAATTAAACTAAAATATTTACTTTTTTTAAATGTCGTTTCGCTTTAGTAAAGCTTTTCACTTCGTTTCTCGCCTAGGCTTTAGGAGCCTTAGTCGCTTCGGTTCGCTTTACGCCTTAAATGACACTGATTAGCTGTATTCTTGCCATACCTGTGTTATATATTTAGAATTTATCGTATTCTTAGGTCTGTATCGTATCGGATACGACACCTGTGTTCGTACCGTGCATCCTTGGCCACAGCCAAGGCTTCTACACAACAGAAAAAAACTACCACACACCACAGATGGTCATAGGTCCCCTCTAGAAGATCCTCCAAGCTTAGTCGCACCCTTCTGTGGCAGTAGAAAGCACTACGAGGAGTTGGGTTGTATAGAGTAGGCAGATTGAAGAAATTAACTCTAATTTTCCACAAAAAATCATTCAAAAATAGAGAACTGTATCCAGATGACCTCAAAAAATTGAACAAAAATCACCATAAAATTGAGCACTCTGAGTCGAGCTTGGGCTAGAGTTCTGGTCGCTAGATGATGATGACTTCATGCTGATGTTAGCATGAAGTCATCGTTGATTTGCTAATGTTAGCAATTGGATCTGTGTTTCTTTTTTCTAAGTATTCTAATATATTTTTAATAATTATTTATCTTAGATTAATACTTTCATACCAAGTTAGAATTATAAAAGAGATACTAGGGTTTGTAAGAAGAAGAGACAAGAGGAAGAGAAAGAAGAATAGTAGGGAATTGGCTATATTGCCCTACATCCTCTTATTTATATTGAACAATATTTTGGGCAATTACAATATTATCTCATAGTAGCTTATAAATATAAAACATAAAAAATAAGAACTCTAACAGATATCTTTCATGCTCAATTTGCATATATCTGAATAAAAAATTCTCCTCCTAAGTCCTTAAGTAAATACATTGACTAATTGTTCTTTGGATGTCTTAAAGGGCATACAAATCTACTCGATATTGAGCTTCTCTTAAATGAAGTGCTTGTCAATCTCACTATGCTTTGTTATGTCATGTTGAACCGGGTTATGAGCAATGTTTATATCAATCTTATTATCACTATACAGGAACATAGGTTCAACCTTTGAGAAACCCAAGTCTTCCATTAAGGTTTTCAACCACAAGCTCATAAATACTATGAGCCATAGCGCTATAGTATGTCTTTGCACTAGATCTGGCCACTACGGCTTGCTTCTTGTTTCGTCAAGTAACTAGATTTCCTCCTACAAGGATACAATAACTTGTAGTGGATCTCCTATTATCAATTGAGCCTGCCTAATCTTCAGTTGTGAAAGCTTCTAATCTCAAATGACACTGGTTCGAGAATAATATTCCTTTACCGATGATTTAAGATATCTCAGTACATGATGAATTACCTTTTGATGAGGGACTCGAGTGGCATGCATAAATTGACTAACAACACCCACTGCATATGCTATGTTTGGGTGAATGTGAGCAAGATATACGAGTCTCACAACAAGCCCTGATATCTTTCTGTATCAACTTGATGACCTTCATTACTTCTTCGTCTGTGGTTTGTCTCAATAGGTGAGTTTGTAAGTCTACAACTTAGCAAGTTGGTTTCCATCAGAAGATCAAGGATATACTTCTTCTGTGAGATGAAAATGCATTTATTTGATCTAGACACTTCTATCACTAAGAAATAACATAAATGCCCCAAATCTTTAATTTAATTCTTTAGCAAGAGGAATTTTTAATTTGGACACTTCCTCTGCAATATTACGTGTAAGTATTATGTCATCAACATATACCGTAAGAACTGAGATCTTGTCACTCCCTTGTTTGATGATTATATGTGATCTGCATGACTTTGTTTGTACCCAAGTAGTCTAGATGACTGCTTTAGTCCATAAAGGAATTTATTTGACTTACATACTTTTCCCTCCGTAGCTAAAGAAGAAAAGTAGGAGGAATATCCGTGTACACTTCTTCATCCAAGTCCAAGAAATACATTCTTTACATTTAGTTGCTTTAGATTCCATTCCAGATTGACAAGAAAGGGCACAAATGATATTTATCTTAGCTATAGGGGCAAATGCTTCCTAATAGTCTATGTCATATGTTTGAGGAAACCCCTTAGCTACTAGTCTTGCTTTGTATCTATCAACTGTACCATTTGCATTTTGCTTGATAGTAAACAGTCACTTACAGCCTACTGATTCCTTCTCGACTGGGAGATACATATGTTCTCAAGTTTCATTCTTTCTCAAAGCTATCATATCTTCTACCATGATTGTTTTCCATTTGGGTTTTGCAAGAGCTTTATTCCAATTGAAGAAGATAAAGAGTCATAAGAAACAAACTTAGAAATATGATGTTGGGTAAAAGTCCAAACTCCTTTTCAAATAGCAATATGTAAAAAACTATCATCAACAAGATTACTACAAGGAGGCTTATTACTTGACTCATTACTTGATGTGGAGGAAGAGATTCTAGGAACTGAGTTGGGAGATGATGACTGACTTGATGGTTCATGGGTGGTGATTTGCTTATTTTGACATCGAGTATATCATTACAAGTCATCCCTATCTAATATTTCACAAATAGTTTGCTCCCACCGGATAGGTGTTTCTGCTTGAGGCTCCCCCTCACTAGATTTCTCTCCTTGACTCATGTACTAGTTGGGAGGTAGGAGAAAGAATCCATCCTTTTGCATCTCTTCTTCAATACACTGCTCTCCATAAAGAGATGGAGGAGTGGAAAACTAAGGTGATTGTTGTTCTCTCAAAGCTGTTTATACGTGAACTACACATGTGATTAGTTCTTGAGATATAAGATAATTTTATGACACCGTTCTTGCAATTAATCAAAGCATTAGAAGGAGGACGACTTCCAAAATTATCTTGAATGTTCTAATGACTCCCAAGTGCCAATGGAGTGCTTCTGGTACCTAGTTGAATTGTTAGGTTTAAGGGTCTAGTGTTGAGAAGAAAAGAGAAGAGTAAGAGGAAAGAGAAGCAATTATAATGAGGCTTAATGAGAATGAGAGTTAACTAAGCTCTTGTCCTTATTTGATGAACACACACAAGGGCATATTTTGAACATTCTTTACCCAACATCATACTGTAGTCGCAAAAGCCTAAGAAGATCAACAAGCCTTGGTCTAAGCACCACCTCCAAAAGGGCCTAATTCATAATAAGCTGCAAGCTACAATAATACCCTTAGTTAAAATATTCTAACATTCTACACATGCACTATCATAGGCAATTAAGCTCAAGCCCTGAATAGAGTGTACTTGCATTCATTTTCTTGTAGATTATGTAGAGCTTATGGTTTTGAGTTCATTGGTTTGGAGGGACATTGCCAAAGGAGCAGCTGATTAGCTTGAGTTTTTGGTTAAGCATGGCATTTGGCTGTGAAAAGTATCATAAGATGCTGAGACCCCTGTTCTCAACATATTTGATTTGTCATTACTGTCCACATCATATAAAATTAGGGTCTGACCTCTCTGAGTTTGATATAGAAAATTTAGTTTGCAATTTATTCATTCTCTTGTTCTCAATGCAGATGATGTGGGCCGCTGATTTTGACGAATCTTTGGCTTTTAATCTGGAAGAGAATTGCCTGGAACCATTGGTCATCCAGATTCCCAGGGAATCTGTTGCAGAAACAGAAGAAGAGAGATTTGAGAATGATCATGGTGGTTCAAATGGTGGGTTACAATCAAAGTATGGAAATGTGGAACGCTCCATCTGGGACAACACTGGAGTGAAATCATCATCAACGCATCCCCTTTGTGGCTTGACAAAGCCATTCTGGTCAAAGAATGATCGTTTGCAGATCTGTACTGTGGTGTCATCAACAAGGAAAGGTGATGACGAACTACCTGTTTTTTGCGTAGCAGCAATTCTTTTCATGAACCGGCAGAAAATCATGAGAGACACCCATTCAATTGATGATCTAATAAAGGCAGGTGGATTATACCGAATTTTCAGCTCTATGCTTGACCAACTAGTTGATTTTTGCACTACTGTGATTCTGTTGTCATATTTGGCTATATGAAACTGGGTGATGGGTAGGATCTGCTTTCTTCTAGTCATTATTGTGTGTAACTGTGTATGATATGCAATTGCCATGATGTAAGAATTATGCCAATCAGCTGCTGTGTTTATCTTAGCATTATTACTTCGTAAACTGAACAGTGCATCTTAGAGTCAAAATGTGAAACTGATTACAAAACTGGTATAGACTGCATGTTCAAGTCATGGCCTATTCCTAGAGGTGAAAATTTCATGCATAAACAATAATTTGTCATGAATCATTGTGGTTTATTTTTATTACTTTTAGTTTCACCCTTCTATACTACAACTGATGATAAAGGAACAGTCTCTTGTAATTTCTTTTGTGTTGAAATGCAAGTGCTTACTTGATCATGGGGTTGAGCCATACTTAAACCAGCATGAACTTGAAGGCCTTAACAGTAGAAGGTGTACCCTTGTATGTGTCTACTAGCCAAGTTCATTTGCTCTATTTGTTCACTTCTTCCCCATCATGAGTACAGCGTTAACCTTTTGTGTTTGGCTGCTTTGAAAAGCTTAATTGATTTAGAGGTTCATGTCTATCTTATTTCTAAGTTGGTATTTCACATTTCTCTCTCTCTCTCTCTGAGAATATGTAAGTTGTTTACTTAATTTCTTTTGGCATGGATGTAATTTTCTGTGGGTAGTTTGGAGCAGTAACTCATGGTCAACATGTTGCAGATGTTTAATGATAATTTACTCAAGATCAGGGTCAAGAGATGTGTGCGTACAGCCGTCAAACTCCGCAAGAAGTACTTCTACAAGGTTTCAAGCATTTTATGACTTTCTTGTTTTGCCATGCACAGTCGGTGTCTGTATGTTTTTTTAATATTGTTATGTTGGTTTTTTCCTGTTATTATATAACCCGCTTTAGACAAATGGTGGAGATTCCAACTGGTCATGGTTGTAGAAAAGAGTGGTGGTGCCATGCATCAGCTTTATCTTCCTGTTCAGAACATGATTGTAAAAATTCTTGGACTTCAGCATATTTATTAATTCATCTTGTTTAATTTGTTTCTAGCTTACAAGCATGTCCAAGGTAATAAATGTGATTTTTATTTCTATTTGGATTACCCATGTAACGTTGGTTCATGTTCAAACCAGATGGGCAATTGGACAGTGAAGATGTGATGTCATTATTTGATGGACATGTTTTTTAAGTAGGAAATTTTAATGGACATATGAGGCACCACTACCTGTTGTTCATAGCATCATCTAATTTGTACTCTTCCATAGATGCCTTTTCTGAGACTTGCTCCTGTCTGAAACCAGCTGATCAAGAGCAGGAGCTCAGAAGCTCAAGATGGTGACTAAGGTTGCTCTATTTTCTTATATAACAAAAGCTCAGCCATGGCTTACGGAGTTGGCACCTATGGCTCGATTTTAAGTTTGAGTGGCATGACAATGCTTTTTATCTTGATATGTTGGAGTTCATAGCAAAGTGCTTATGCAATTTGAAGATTCACCCAATTGTTTGTATCTCCTAGTTCTCTTCCACCTCCAATCTCAGGTAATTAATGTCTTGTTCTGTCTTCCTTCAGATCAAATTATTAAATCTGCAGATGTGATTCTGGTCTACATTTTAATTTTGAAATTCAGCTGCTGCCATGGACATTAATCTATATTTTTCAGTAGGAATATTACGTGGTAAGGATTGAATTAGCAAATGCCAACATGGTTTATTGTATTTGGAGTTGTTTGGTCAGAACCTTTTTAATTATCCAAACCGGAGTTTAATTGTAGATTATCATGACCATGAGATGTTCGTGGGGTGTTGGGGTAGGCAAATCCCATTGAACTTGGGCTTCTGTCATATTGAGAAATGGTCATCTTGGCCACTGATTTGTCAAATTGTGTCAACTAATTAATTTCGTGATGCAGACATTTTATCAGTTCAATAATATGAGAAAAAGTATAAACTATTACAAATAGATGGAAAAGTTGTACATAGTTCACAATGCTTCCCGCCTATATAGTGATATCTGCGAGAAGTAAGTGATTGGCTATCTTAATCTCATTTTGGACAGGGTCACTCCTGTACTCGAACCCATGACATAGTGTGGACCTTGGCTGGATGAGCACTAGCCATAACTCCATGTCCCAGCTCTCGTTTATTCTAAATGGAAATTTTTTTAATTAAGCTAGAAACCTATGATATTGTTGCCACTTCCCTCTATCAACTGTTAGCGCCCAAGTGTCAGACACTTATTGACACAACTTTAGTGTTCACCAGCAATTTGTACTCCTTTTGGCAATTGAGCGAGTTGTTTAACCACTTAAAATTGTGTAGAAGTACAATTGAGGTATTTATCTATTATATTTTAAAATTTTAAGGGGCTTAGAACAACTGTAAAAGCTCGGGGAGCCAAAAGTGTGAATGTAGGTTCAACTATATGAGCAACCAATGTGTGTCCATATTGATGATGTTTAAGTCAATATATCCAGTCCTCTCTTCTAACACTTTGCTAGGCTACTACTAGGCATGGCTTTGTTGTCTAAACTTTTTTTTGTGCTCCACTTGTATTTCTGTTTCACAGGACCTGAATTATGATATTTATGTTTTATGTATAATCATTATCTCTAAATTTTGGGAGTTGCTGTGTGCAATAGCTGTGTGAGAGCATGCGTCCCTTGTTTGTGCCCATATCTTTGGAATCAAATATATAGTGACACCTGAAACTGGATTTTACATATGACACACAAGATAAAGTAAGTAGTATGGCCCCAAAAAAGTTTTATTGGATGCAAAACAATACTTTCTCTCAAGTTAATAAACCAAATCAAAACAATATATATATATAGCCTAAGCAAACTAGAACACCTTAGAGTTGCCAAACATCCAGGAATACCCCTATAATTTACAAACTTGTATACACTCTCCCCCCCCCCCCCCCCCCCCTTCTCACCCTCATGATGCAAGCCTGGAGAACATTGAGATTTTGTCAAATAACAATCAAAAATGAGTTGAAGAGACTTGATGATAAAATCTGAAGCTTTAGCGAAAAAGATACAAACAATAAAGCAATGATGCCAAGTTGAAGATGTTCACGAATAAAAGGACAGCAATCTCAATATGTTTCATGCATTCATGAAAGGCCGAACTGTGAGTAATCTGGATAACACTCTTATTGTTACAGTACACGAAAGTGTTGGATAGGAAAGAACAACACCCATATCTGCTAGAAGCCAAGAAGCCAAACAATCTCACTAGTGGTATGTGCCATACCTCGACACTCAGTTTCAGCAGTAGAGTAGTAACTGATTGTCTTATTTTTTCAACAAATAAAAATCACCATAAAAACACAAAAATCAATGGTAAATGTGCAATTAGTATTATCTCCAATCCAATCAGCATCAACATAGGCATGTAGAGCTAGAAAGAAAGTCGAGGACAATAATAAACCCTGGAATATGGAGCCATTGCCACACACATGAAGTAAGGCAGCCCAATGTGCAGTACAAAGGAGCAAAGACAAACTGACTAATAAGATGAACTATCATATGCAATATCTAGGCAAATATAAACCCATATTCAGTGGGATACCCATTCAAAAAGGCGTTTTTAACATTGAGTTGAAATAAAGGCCATTGATGTACTGCAACAACAAAAATCAAAGTATGAACAGTGACGGCCCAAGGCATAGGCCATTGCCAAGGGCCCCCAAATGGGAAGAAAATTTTGGGGCCCTGAAAAATAATATTGAATAATATTATTGGACTTGATATTGGGAACAAATTTGAGAATTTAATGTATTTAAGTTTTTAACAATTAGATGAGCGGTGGGTGTTAACATGGAATATAACTAACTATCAATTGAATGACTATGGTGCATTAGATTTCCAAATTAGATCCCTAAAATAAGTAAAAGTTGGATTATTGAAAAATTTTTAGAATGTCTTTCAAAAAAAGAATTATATTTCTTTGGGTTAAATTTGATGTCATGATTTATTTAGATTAGATTTTTGATTAATTATTTTATAAAGAGCACAAAATAACCATAAAATAAAGATAGTAGGAGTAGCTCACTATCCAAATCTAATTGTAAACATGTTTCCTTGCTACATTTTCTTATTTAAACATAGCAATGGTTTTCTTCAATTTTTAATCATGCCCCATTTGTTTATGACCATTCAACTTACACAAATTACTATTTTTACATTAGTTCCAAAATTTTTTTAGTTAAACTAAATTTCAATTTTATTTCTCTTTATCTTTAACAGATAACAAGCTTGATTGCATTTGGTTCTCGAATTTGATTTCAGTTACTTGCATGTACAAATCTTAAATTAAAAAAATCAATTACTAATATTTCATCTAAAAAAATAACTAATATAATTTTAAATAAAATATTTTAATATCATAAATATTAGCAAGGCTCCATTTAACACTTTTGCATGGGGTCCTCACTTGTGTCAAATCGGCTCGAGTATGAACAATAGCATTTTCACAACAAGAGTAAATATTTTCATATAGTCTAAGTCAACACCATATTCTTTAGAGAACCCTTTAGTCACCAAACGAGCTTTGTTCCATTCAAGAGAACTATCAGAATGAGTCTTGACCTTGAAAATTCACTTGCAATCAACAATATTTTTATTTGCCGGCAAAGAAACTAAATTCCAATTGTCATCCTTATGAAGAGTACTCAATTCATCTTGCATTGCATTAATCAAATAGGATAAGTATAAGTCTCATTATAAGACTGAAGCTCAAAGTAAGAGTGCATAGAAGTAGGGAAAGCACGATAAGAATGAGAAAAATTAACAAAATTAAGTTTCCCTGGTAGATTGTGAGTGCAAATAGGAGATTGTTGTATAAGTTAAGTAGAGTTGATGGGTTCAAAATTAGGGCCATCAAAATTATTACTCAGAATGTGAAAGATAATGTTTCTTACGAGAATAGAGCAAATGATAGGATGGGAGAACAGAAGAATAAGAGGGAGAAGATGAAGTACCAACCAAAGAAGGAAGATCACAAACATCAAGAGAGGCGATAAACACTTTAGAAAACTCATCAAATGGAATATAGTCAATGCATACAAGTTTATCTCTTGAAATAGGAGCTACTTTAGAAGGAATGGTGAAATATGGAATGCACTTAAGAAAAAGAACATGCTCAGAGGCATTCAATTTTTTGGACACGGAATTATGATATCGTTATCTTTTCTGTCCGAGACCATACTCCAAGAAGACACAAAACACAGAACGAGCACTTAATTTATTTCTCTTGCACTTAGGAAGAAGGAAATAAGTTGAGCCAAAGACACATAGAAAAGAGTAATTATGAAGTTTTTCAAACAACTTTTCATATAGAGAATCCACTTGATAGAAGTGGGGTGGGCGAAAGATTTAATAAGTAAACTGTTGTAAGAACAACTCCACCTCGAGAGACGGAGAGAATTGAGGATGAAAGAAGAAGAGCACGAGCAGTTTCCAGAATGTCTATACCTACACTAAACAGTACCATTTTGCTCAGGAGTATCTAACTAAGATGACTGAAGTCTTTCAAAAAATATTAACCAACCAGATCAAGACGAAGAACTTTTATATTGGTAGAAGATTCAGTGAACCATGGAATGAGAATTGCAGTATATTTGAAAGAAATCATATTTTTGTGTTATCTGATATACTCAACAATAGTTACTATAATCATTAGTAAAGGAAACATAATACATTGAACCACCTTTAGTGAAAACAAGGGAACACCCCTATAAATCAGTATGAACGAAAGAAATATTAGTAGAAAGAGAAGTACTTTTGTGGCAGAGATCTTGACAAGTTTACATCCACTACAACTGAGATATCACTTGGAGATACATTGATCAAATGTCAAAGTAAATTAAACTCTGTAGATGCTCATTGGACAAATGATCTAACCTAGAATGCCATAAATAAAATTGAGGTGAATTATTATTTAGACAAAGAGAAGAAAACTTGGATGAACTAGACTCTGAAGAGAATATGTAATTGCTCGAGAATGTATGTGTCATGAACTCTACACCCTGTCCCAATTTGTTTTTTGGACTTCCGATCCTAAATGACATAACCATGAGAATAAAACACAATATCATTGAATCAGGGAGTTGACTTATCGATAATAAACTAATAGACATTAGTGGAACTGAACAAACATTCGAGATAGAAATAGAGGACGACAAAGAGGGAAAAACAGATCCAATAGAAACATGTATTGTAGAACAATTAGCGGTGACAATAGTTATAGGAGAAGAGGGAGAGACACAATTATAAGAGAAGAAAGGTTAGGAATCATATGATGAGAGGAACTTGAATCAAATATCTAAGTAGATGATATGTCTAAGATCTTCGAATCTAATAAGCCTGAATGAATGATGGACATAGCAGAGGCGTCAAATTGATTTGTAGTGGAAGTAAAAAGCATAGGCTATGGATGCTCAATCATTAACATAATTTGATTGCAAAATATCAATGAAAAATAGCGCAGTGAACACTAATAGTGAATAGTACTGAGACCAATAATGGGAGAGTGGTTGTGCTTTAAAGATTGTGATGTGCTAGGAGAAGAACCTCTGATACCATGAAAGATTTATTGGATGCAAAATAATACTTTCTCTGAAGTAAATAAGCTAAGTTACAACAATATATAGCCTAAGAAAATTAGAAAATCCTAGATTGCCCAAAGCCAAAAATACCCCCTATTATATACAAACTTGTCTACACTCTCACAACCCCTATTTATGAAACACGGATACTTTGTTAAAGTCGGATACTATATCAGATACGATACTTGTCGGATACTCGAGGATATGTATCATATATGCATCATATGTATCCAATAATTAATAAAATATATGGATATTTTGCGGATATTTCTACACATAGAGCAAGATGTACAATTTTTAATTTTAATTTATAATCTTTCCTTACATACAATACAAAACAACAATAAAATGAGTTAGATATATACTATAGCATGTCAAAAGATTATAAAAAAATGAGTTAGATATATTATAACCTTGGAAACAAAATACTTGTAAGCAAATCAACTAGTTAAATATTAGTTTTAATTCCTTTAATTGGTCATGTTCACTTTATGGATTTATCATAATAAGATGATATTCTACTTTTTTCAAGAGAAAAATTGCTAATTTTGTTTACCATTCTTAAAGAATTACTAAAAATTGTAAATTTTAAGTTATTCAATAATGGTACAATATAAAATATATTTTTATTATAAACGTATCCCGGCCATATTTGTATCCTATATTTTTATGTTTTGTTGCATCACCATATTCATATTGTATCATACCCCCATCTTATATTCGTATCCATGCTTCCTAGGCCCCTCTATTAAAATAGTTTATCATACAACACAGAATGATGGCCACTTTTGACTGATCAACTATTTGGTCTGGTAATGCAATTGTTGTTCTAATACTAAATCCGAAGTCACACAGAAACAGAACAAACTTGAATAATTATCCATTTAAAATATGGTTAGAATCCATTCTATGGGATGTCTTAAGACCCATAAATCAGCTTAAATAGTTATTACACGGGTTTAAATACTGGTAAAGGCAAGTTTTAAATCAGGTTTTAAACCGAATTGTTGAATACCTTCCTAAAAGATGTATTCCTTAACTACAATGTGAAGTTACAAATACATATTAGATTAGAACATCCCAGTTATAACCAAAACTACTATATTTTTTAAGGACACTTTGGTGTTATGGCATTACATTTTCTTACCATTTATCTCTGATAAGTGATTACTTATGTTGAGTTGTAATGATTTGGAATCTATGTTTTTGGGTTAATCTTAAGTATCTCTCAGATTATGCTTTTTCCCTCCTTCAGGACTGTGAGATGGAAAGTTGCTTGTCTTTGGACTGATCATGGATAGTTGGAGATGGCCAGGTTAGGAAAACAACCTCTTCTATGCCGTGTCATATGTGTGAAGAGCTAATCATATGTGAACAATTTTGATTTCTTATACAACTGATATTTCAGAGGGAAAAAATATAATTAAAGTCAATGGAAATTTATACAAGGTTTCTTTTTTGAAGGTTCTTAGTAGTAATAGATATTTCATGCGCTTATTGATTGATAATTTTTCCCTTGCTAAACATAAAGAACTTCCCGAGAGATGGTATTGCTTCTTTGATCGGCAGAAACTGTAAATTAACTTCAAATGGACCAATTGTGTCCTGTCTTTAATATAAGGTGATGCTTTTCACTGATGACACTTTGAATCCCATCTACTTGATGTTGGTGGAACGGCAATTCCTGCGTATCTCCCCCTTGTTTCCTGTCAAAACTTTAAGCCCTCCCATCCGACTTATTGACAAAGCAAATTCTTCGCCGAAATCTTCGAAACTGCCAGCATATTGATTGGTTAATTGCTTTGTGCCATTACTACTACCATACAGTAGCTGCTGATCAACTGCTAGGACAGATTTATGGGATAGGACCCTTGAGTAGTAGCTGTTGGTGAACTTGTAATTGGGGCCGTTATCTGGGTTTAGAAATACAAGTGGGTTGCTTTGGCCTGTCTTCGATTTGGGTGGGCACTGCTTTCTCAAGTTCGTTAGTAAGGATTTCTTCATGCTGGGATCTGGTTTTCCTGTATTATTGAAATTGTACAGACGGTCGAGGATGTAGCTGCAATGTGCTTTGCCCATTGTATGTGCCCCTGCAGAACAGAAAAAAGGTCTGTGTTTTTCATTGGTAATTTGGTCCAGCTTTAGAGAATTCTTTGCACCCCACCCCTTTTTTCGCTTATTTATTTTTATAATCGATCTTAAACTTTTTAATTGTGGTTCAAGTCAAGAGATATTTTACTTAATAATTTAAAAACCTATACTTCACCTCATATAATGTTAGACTAGAGTTTTACTATTAGAATTTCTATCAAAATTAACGATCAAAGATCAGAAGTAAAAGTTTTAAAACATAGCTATGCATAGTGCATCTCTTTTTTTTCTCTCTGCACACTAAATAATCTCTTTATATCTTCTTGTTCTGTATAGTAAGGATATGAGGATATTATTACATTAGTATAGAAGTTTCATGTATGAAAAATACTAGTGACACAAAAAATAAATCGTATTATTGTCTTCTTATATAAATTACTAGGGATAACCTGCGTCTGACGACACGATGTAACGTAAGTGAGAAGTGATTGATTTAGAGAAGGGGGGGGGGAGAATTCAATGTGAATGATTTTGAAATGAATGTCGATGACTGTTGGATTAGTTTATTTGAGAACGTCGAATGAGTTTATTGAAGATTACCTGATTTTATATTATAAAAATTAACTTTGTTTACTGTGCACTTAATTTTTTGTTGAAGTATGTTCATTCTTTAATAATTTAAACTTTTGGAGTAAATAATGGCTTAACATGAGCTCTAGAGTGTTTGAATCTCGTCATCACTTTAATGATTAAATGATTTTGACATGTGTGGCGTAAAATCCACCTGCGTGGAGGGGGCGTATTGAAGTGTATAAAAGGTTGAAATGGAGATTTTCCATAATACAAGGAGGCAAAGCCTAATCAAAATTATAGAGCGGAAGGAAAAGAAAGATACAGGGAGGAGGGTTTGTCAAAATTTTATTCATAAAAATTTGAAAAATGTGTAGTAGAGAAGTAACAGCTTACCTAGGAGGGTAGCCATGTCCTGCACATCTAAGCCTTTGGATCTGAAGAAGGCCAGTGCTGACTCCCAGGAGATTGACGGCGACGGGTAGTATACCCATTCTGCTTTTGATTCCAGCCCGTCCCTTCTGCCTAAGAATACAGGATAAGATGGTGCACCTGCCTGTGAATTTCATCCAAATACACCATTAAGCCATTTGAGTCCCGGCTGCTCAAAATGTTTTTTCTGTATCATACGGTACCACAAAATACAATAGTCGAGTGTTTAAGCTATTACTTTCTCAGGTGCTATTTGATATACCCTCAAAAAGTTATATCTAGGCACCAAAAAATTATATTTATTATGATCGATTTTAAAATGTTATGATTGATCTTAAATTTTTTGTTACAGTTTGACGTCAAACAAAAATTCTAGTTTTTGATACTACGGTAATAAAATATTATGAAATTAAGTGTGACAGAGGGATCAAAATTCTCTCCAATACTAAATTTCCTCGATTATCTCAATGTTAAGTTACCCACATTGTATATGAGACTTTCTCCTATAAGAGTAGGTTTTACATTGATTCATGGTAGTATTTGAGCATTGAGAGAAGTGATTTGTATCCGTGATAGTATGTATGAGTGTAGGTCGAAGACTTTACGTAATGAACGGCGTCTCTGGTTGCAAGGTTGAGAATGTCAGTGCAGGAGACCGCTCCCGGACATCGATCTTCGATGATGATCTTGATTTTGTCGATGACATCAAACACTGTTAGTCCTAAATTTGGTAGCTTAGCTCCGAGCCCTGCATTTTGGGGAGCAGTTTTCTCTGATTGTGGACCGTCCAGCAGTATTGATGCATCGCATCCCTGTTTCATGCACATATCAAGCTATGGTTTTAAAAAATGAAAACCAAAACATGGTATAACTTCTTAAGTGGAGCTATTTTCTCAAATGGGTTGAGAGAGAGAGAGAGAGAGAGAGAGAGAGAGAGAGAGAGAGAGAGAGAGAGAGAGAGAGAGAGCACTACAAAGAACAGTCCAATTGAGGTGAAGATACAATATGACACATTTTGAATGGAAAATTACATCACTTCAACACAGTTTTTCAATTGAAAATCAATGTTATCAGAATGTTAAAACTCTTAACATACGATAGGTATATGAAAAAATACACAAAGATTGAAAAACACAAGGGACATACATTGACCATACAGTCTGAATAGAGCAACTTAAGAAGCTTGGCTGTGAGGCTCTTTTCCTTGTTCCAAAACAGCATCACTTGATGCTGGACAAATGCCTCCACATTTTTGCACGTAATAAGTTTCTTGTAGTAGTGGCGGGTAAGAGGTCGATCCTCCGGTGGTAGCGTTATCGCCGCCTGCACGCAACTTGAACGGAAGCTTAGTGCAAGAGATAGCAGAGAGATGAGGAGCAAAAACCCTTCTCTTCCCATCTTCAATGCTAACACAGACCTTTAACTGCACTACGAAAATTATCGGCACAAACTTTATATAGAGCAAGACCATGGGCATAGTCCACCTGGAGCGACCGGCAATGCCAGTTAAATAATCATCAAAAAATAAAATGTTTCGAGTTAATTAATCTATTAGTTTAAATAAAATTAGTATAGAGTAAATTATACATTAACCTCCTTAACTATATTCTATATTTCCTATTGTCCCCTTAATATTACGTTCTTTATATTTCACTTCCATCTATGATTATTTTTACACTATCCCAATTATAGACATTAAAAACATGTATTTACTTTGCATTCGAAAACCTTCATTCCAAATCTTATTTGTACATATTTTTTTTGCGTTGACGAGAAACAATTCAAGTAGTTGGAGAGGCAAAGTGAGAAATTTACTTTGTAGTTGAAGAGATTAAGTGAGATCGGGGTCAAAGTTGAAGAGATTAAAGGGTAATTTTTTTTTTATTAAGAAAAAAATCAGGCCTCCATACATGACGGCGTGTGTGGAGGAGTTGAGTTCACATGCACCAAGTTGTTAAACATTCTTATACGAAATCTCATGCAAGCTTGCTTCCAACGCAAGGTACGCGCAGATTTTAGGTCACTTAACAATGCCAAGTTGTTAAACATTCTCCTAAAAAATTTTCAATTATGAAAAAGACTAGTCTATCAATTTAGGTGTGTATTTTAACCTCATTGACCTTGACCAGATAGAATCCTATTATTTTAGTTAAGTGTGAAAGGTAATGGTTTTTTGAGTAGTTTTGGGGGAAAGAGTAGGCGTTAGTACCACGTTGTCATACCTGCTCAAGTAAATTAAAGACAATAACATAATAAATGACTACATATAAATTATGTTATAATGCATGGAAAAAGTTAAAGTGTAATTAAGGGGAATTGTTCTTTCTTCGTGGAGCTTCATTGCCCCAAGTTATCAATTATCTATGGTCAGGTATAAGATCCTCAATGGCTTGCAAACTCCTAACTCTTCTTTCAGAGACAAATCTCTCTCTCTCTCTCTTGTTTCTCACCCCGAATTATTGAGGGACCCTTGATGAAGATAAATCTTATAACTTTCATTTTATATAATGGGAGGGGAGGGACTACGTTTCTGAGAAAAAATATGGTGGTAAAAGGAAGACTCTTAATCAAGAACTCACCCATGTCAGGCCATATTTTGAAAAAAATTATATATCGGAGGGATCTCAAGAATCACAGGGTGTCATCTAAGTAACAACTATTCAAATGCAAGATTATGCGGCTTCAGGTCAGCATGGAAGTTGAATGACTTTGTTGATCCAAGGCAGTTTTCTCCTTAAAAAAGTTATTTTCCACAACTGGCACTGACTATGTGTACAACTGTAAAGAAATTGTCTTATCTTACCTAGTCTGCTTCATTCTTTGTCAACTATATATAATATACATTTGTGTAATAACTTAATGAAGCAATCAGTTTTTTTTTTCCACCTGATTGAAGCCATCAGTTGGCTTGTTCCCTTTTTTTTTTTGTTTACCTCATTCTTTTCAGTGGAATTCACTAAATGGTGATATAAGGAGCTGAATATGAGTTTCGTGGCGTAAGAATTTATTCGATTTAATTATAATCGTATCTAATCGCATTTGTATTTTATCGAATAGGTGTTTATATAAATTGTATATAATAGGGTTCATCTATGTATAAGGCCGTGTTCATGTCATCTATTTATTAGTCTTAGTTAATGAGTAAACCTAGTGATGACCAAAACCCATTAAAACTTGTCTCAAATCCAATAATTATATGTTGGAGTGACGAACCTTGTTAAAAATTGTTATCGGTACTCATATTCTAACATTACTACACCCACCCAATAAAATATTTATAGTGTGAAGGGAGTAAATTGACCCCATTGGAACTTACTTATGTTATTAGCTGAGCCAGTGAGCCTTTCCCTCCCTCCTGTTTCTTCTAGTTTACACCATACACATTTCAGATGGAATGAGTAATGGTGATAAAAGTTAAAACTTGATCATAATTTTAACTTATTTTTTGTTGGCGTGGGTGGAGGGTTTGATTTAGCTTAATATCACGTGCTCAAACGGCAATTCATTGTGTGCTTAGTTAATGAAGCAATCACTTAGCAACCCACCACGGAATCGTGTTTTTTTTCTTTGGCATTCTTTTATGGCTACTTACTTTACCACTTCTACAATATTTATCATCAAACTTTTAGTGGGTCTTATATTAGGATTGACAATGAATTATATCATGACAGATTCATATCGTGTGAAAATATATTCCATTAAATAATATTTATTCCAATTGTTTATAATCAGATTCGTATTGTTGCAACTTCTTTACATTATGTATGTTGGAGTTGGTATTTTTTGTAACTAGATTTGAGTCGACTCTTTAATTTGTAGGTCTGACAAGTCAATAGGTTATATCCAAACTCTTTAGCCTAAGCCAATACATGGTAACATTGTGTCAACTTTAGTTAAAATTAACGAGTCGTCTTGGCAATTGTCAGCCATGGTCATATAGAAAGCAGCAATGTTTTTGTGACACTACTATACATTCCTTTAATTTTTAAAAAAATGGATGTTATTAATTGACCATATTGGAACCCATGTAGCTCAGCCAATGCCCCCTCTCAATTTCCCCAAGCCCTCTAATTTAAACGATGCACATTTCAAATGGAAAGAGTAATGGTGACAACACTAGATCATGAGGAGGGGAAGGGACTACCTCTGGCTGTGCACCCATCACATTTGCATTCCAATTTTTTATTTATTTATTAAACATCGATGGTACGAGAGTATTATTTTATAAATTAAAAAAAAAAATTACGCTTAGAAGGGCGGACTTCTGTACCTTACCCTTTAAAATTCTATTTATAGCATATGAATGAAAGAAAATAAAAATGCATGCTGTTACATAAAAATCGAAAATTCCTCTAATGCAGCCCCTAATTATGGAGTAATAAAAGCCCCTCATGATGGCCTTGTAATTTTGTTCTTCTTTCTAATGGACCTTATCTCCTGCTGATCTTGCTGAATAAGAAGTCTAATGGATATAGGAAACATATTTGTAGAAGTGTAGGTTTGTGAAACTCTATCAAGAACGCCTTTGTTAGCTAAAGAAACTGCAACTGAATTGCCTTCCCTGTATGTGGAGAAATATTCATTACAACGGTGATACCATGTGGCAAGGTGATTTACTCTTGTATGTGTGCATAATTTGAAAATCAAATCCCCTTGGCATCCTGAAGATCCTGTTTGAAAAAGTCGAATATTTCCATGTAGATAGAATATTTTGCTTGATCATATCTACTAGGATTTTAGAGTCAGTTTCAATAACCAATTGATAAGGCTCCAATCCAAACTCCTGTAGAATGCATAAGCCATCCAGCAGAGCCCTGATCTCTGCCTCCATGTTTGTGCATAATCCATAAAAATAGGAGTCAACTAAAACCAGTTGACCCCAATGATCCCTTAGGACAACCCCTCCACCTGAGTAGCCTGGATTCCTCTTAGATGCACCATCCACATTAAGCTTGAGCAATCCATCTGTCAGTAACCTCTTGCTAATCCATTTGACTTGCATAATGACTGAACATGCCATAAGAATATGAAGAGATTGAAGTCCAATTAAACAAAGTATTGAAGCTATATTTCTAGGAGGGTAAATGAGTCGAGCCGATTTTAATAGTAATCTTGTCAAGTTCAATTTGAAATTTAAACAAATTTTATATATAGTTCAACTTGCCTCATTTCTCTTTTAAGCTGATCTTGAAAAAGTTTTTGTTGAGCCAATTTCAAATTACTTGACCATATACACACTGTAGAGCTTATAAATATGCTCAAGTTTAATTTTGCTTACAACTTGATTTTGGAGAAAGGCCCAATTAGGTTAACGCCTTTTGCGGTCCTATCTATTTTGGGCGAATTACAATCTATCCCCTTAACTATGTCCTTTGTTGCAATAAATTCCTAGTGGTTTCAAATACTGTAATATGTCCCTCCAAGTTTCAAATAGATTAAATTGACTAAAAATAGTGGCCAAACACCTGAAAGAACAATTACACCATCCGGCTTGTACATTATTTCTCATTTTTTTCTTGCGATTCCAAGTTTGCCCTTATAAAATAAGGAAACGAAAAAGCCAAGACTAATGTTAGATCACATTTTATAATTGACTAATTTCGTCAAGTCTATTATAAATATCAATAGTTTTCATGGTCATGATACTATCAAGTTAAAGATCCGAAAGTATCATTTAAAGGAGGAGATCAAGCCTTAATGTAACATCATTTAACCTTCGTATGCACCTTTATACTTTGGACAAATGTAATAATCTAGATACCTAAGATGAACCCTTAATTACATTTAACTTAAGAGGATTAGGATGAAAATCAAAATGGAAGCAATATATGTATGGCTCGAAGGAGATTTCAAAAGAAAAGATTTTCTAAACAATTTTGTGTTTTAAAAACATAGATTGAGCCATTATCAAACACCTCTTGAGTAGCAACCTTTAATGTTCAAGAGGACTAGTTTTTACTTGATTTTTTGCTTCAAAAACCGGTAGGGACCAAACTATGCTTACTAGCCTTGGGTAGATTGGTCTTTGATGACTTAGGGAAGTAGACTGAAAAAGGCCACGGAAGAACAATAGAGAGCTTGCTTGAGTGGTCCTTGTTGGTCACTCGACAGGTGCTCATGGTCATTCAAGCAGTGTTGCTATTGGACAGGATGGAAACTTGAATTCTTATTCCAGTGCTAACCGCCCTATGACTTCCCTCCAATTGATCGAGCAGTTATTCACAAATTTGAGTTTTCTTATTTACTAAAATTACCCTTATTACAGACCTATAAATTGGGAGAGTTTTTCCCACAGCTAGGTTAAGCCTCTTGCTAAATTCAAAGGCTACTACTACAGATTCTACCCAACCTCATAACTTAGTGTTAAAGATCTTGATGGTGCAAACCAAACCCATTAGTGTGTGCATACTGGGGATTGTAGGCGTGCCCATGATTGCTTGAGGCCTAGATGAATTGTGCGATAGGGAGGACCAATGAAGCTATACTAGATGTTAAAGGAGAGCCTTTGACAGAGAGACAATAAGGAAAGGGGCATCTAACCATGGTATTGACTAAGATATAATACTCGAGTACTTGAATGTTGACTTAGTAAGTAGTGGATTAGGCTTTGGTGAATCGGGAAGGTTCCCTTCTATTTTTCTCAAGGAGAGTTTCCAAGTCAACAAATCACTTGTGCTAATCTTGCATATTTCATATAGACTTGTGATTGTGAGCACGCACACACACACACACACACTATGTATTTGTACGAATGATTATTTGGTATCTATTCAACCATAGTGTGCAAATTACGATTTGGGATTTGGGATTTGAGATCGATGTGAGATTGATTATAAGTGAATTAATTGAAGATTAATTTAATTAATTGTCATATGCAGAATGGGTTGTGGTGACTAAAGGAGTTCTCACATTATTTACTATATCTTTGTGATAAAAGGTAATTGTGGTGGGTTAGGTTTTTATTAGTAATCAATTAGGCTAAAATTGAAAAACCTATTCACCCTCTTTTAGGTAATGTGTCTAATGCTATAGGTGTATAATTGTGAGGGAAGATCTATATCGGGTTCTCCCTCCCAGAACAACAACTAAAAAGTAAAGAAATCTTTGCCTCCACTCATCACAGGGAAGGGAGGGTTTATACCGGAAGGGGAAACGAAATGGGAGCTAACCATTTGAGGTAGTGAATGATGTAAGAGTAAAAGGGAAAGTATGGATATTCGGTATAGGGAAAAAAACATGTGTAACGATTTACTTATTTTCAACAAAATAGTGATCAAATGAATTTGACAAGTCTAATTTTTATCAAGTTTTATTATTTATAAATAATTATTGGAGTTAATTACAAAATATTCAAACTTAAAGGGGGGCTATTTATTAAAATTAATACCTGAAGGAGTGAGTTACAAACTATCCAAAGTTTATGTTATATGATTTTTGGAGGCATGTTCTCCTTAGGAGACTTTTAGGACTTAAAGCCCATTTGAAAACTTATTATGAAGTTAAGGACATTTGTTTTTATCAAATTGTCTAAAATAATCCTAAGATCAACTCCAAGGGGGGGAGTGGCATTAGGGGTGGCAACCCCGTAACTACCAAAATACCACCCCAAATTCAAAAATTTAGAATCTAACAGGGGTGGCATCAGGGGTTGAAAAATGACATCAATGGTCTTGGGTGACAATTTTGGCAACTCTGGAGAGAGAAAATGAGAGGTTACAAATTCTACTGTTCAATCTCAACGACTCTATTCAACAAAAAAATTTCTACAAATACAGAGATTTTGAAAAGAAAACTTACCTTATTTTTGCTCCTGATTTTTCTTCAATCGTTGGAAGGAGGTGTAGAGGCGCAGAGGGAAAGGGGAAGGGGAAAAGGAAAGGGAAAAGGAAGGGGAAGGGTCTAAAGCGTAGAGGGAAGGGGAAGGGGAAGGGGAAGGGTTTGAATCGCTGAGGGAAGGTGAAAGGAGTAGGGTCTGATGATCGTTTACCCCCAATTTGACTTTTTGATCGTTGATGATGTTTATGGTGCTATTTATTTTAGGGCAAATGACATCTTGTACCCCCAAAATTTTTTTGTATTCTCAATTTTATATATTATTTTTTGTATTGTCATATTACACCCTTAATCAAACAAAAAATAGAAATGTGCTCCATTTTAAAAATTCAACAAAACTTTTTATTGAAAACTTTTTTTTTTGATTTTATTTAGGGGAAGGGGAAAGGGAATGAGGCGTTATAAGGTTTCGTTATAATTTATTTAATTAAGGGTGATTTTATTTATTTTTAATTAATTATTTATCTTACCTTAAATTGATTATAATTTTTTTTTTCTGTAGATGAATTCGCAATTTGATTGTTCTTTCACTGATTTACTTATGAACGACACTGA